GAGACTGGTTATGCGGAGAAAAAAAAATCATTCATTAAACAAAGTACAGCATGAAAATAGTGTCCCCTTTGATCTAGGCACATATTAACTACAGTTTTAAAATATAAAACTTTAATAACATCTGCTAAGGGGTAATGGTAAGCGTAGATTTAGAAAGGGAGATGTGTACATGTATTTTTTATATTCTTTTAGAACCTCCAATGTTGGCATGGCTATTTCCTCTTTTTGCTTTTTCAAGTACTGTATACAAATATCTGCTGAGAGCTTATTAGTGCAAGGCAAGGTGTGTGTGCAATGCTGAACGCAGTAGTATTCAAGGCACACACAATAGGGGGCCAGAGGGGACTCCTGATTTCCATCAGAGTCAGTCAGTACGGCTTCGTTTTTACATATGCACACCGCTTTGGCATCACATTTCACTTGAAAAGCTTCCATTACTTAAAACCAATGCTGACAAGAACACCAAAAAATAGGAAATACTGCCTCTGCCTTCAAGCCACTTAAAATGTAACTGGGAAAAGATACATAAACTCATGAAAAGTTAATTAGAGCAAAAAATAGAGGGAAAGAGAATTATTAATGCAGGCTTAAAACAGTAAAGGTAAAAATAAAATAACTTGAGAGGTTGCTCAATTCATTGGAGCATTGTCCTATACACCAAAAAGGGTTTCAGGTTTGATTCCCAGTCAGGGCACCTAGGTTGTGGGTTTGATCCCCGGTTGGGAAGTGTGCAGAGGCAGCCAATTGAGGTCTCAGTTTCTCTCTCTCTCTCTCTCTCTCTCTCTCTCTCTCTCTCTCTCTCTCTCTCTCTCCCATTAAACATATCCTAGGGTGAGGATTAAAAGAAAATTAAAATGAAAAGAATTTAAGAAGACAAATTCTGAGTTCCTAAGAAAGATGGTCACTGTGGACCAAGTGGTCTGAAAGAAGGAGCAGGCCCTGACTTGGAGTGCTCCATGCCATCTGCCAGTGCCTCAATGAGGACAGGCTACTTGGCTGTCCTTGTGAACTCTGGTCTGATATCTACCTGGAATTCAGAATCCACTTGTACTTTCTTAACTTTAATGATCTATAGTGACAATGACCTGGCAATTTTGCGGTTGGCCAGCCCATGGATGCTTTAGATCAGTGGCTGGCAAACTCATTAGTCAACAGAGCCAAATATCAACAGTACAATGATTGGAATTTCTTTTGAGAGCCAAATTTTTTAAACTTAAACTTCTTCTAACTCCACTTGTTCAAAATAGACTTGCCCAGGCCATGGTATTTTGTGAAAGAGCCACATTCAAGGGGCCAAAGAGCCACATGTGGCTCGCGAGCCGCAGTTTGCCAACCACTGCTTTAGATAATTAATCATCTATTACAGGTTGTCAAGTGTTAAGTGGCTGTGGCTGATTCTTAAGCTCAGGACACCAGTCCCAAGAGCCACCTGTAGGAGCCAGCTATTGTGGCCAGTGTCCTTCCCACCAAACCTCCTAAGAAAATACAACAGAGCGAATGCAAGGGCCCCGTGCCTTCCTGACCCTGATATGGCCACAGAAACATTCTGGACTAGTGCTCAGCCAACTGAATGAAGTTGGAACTTAAGGTGAAACTGTGGCCTATGTGTATCTCTCACACAGCTTTTCAAGACTTGTTGAATCCATCCTCCATAGTTGAACCAGGTCTCTAGCCTTGATCAGTACCTACTTAGCCTAAGATATACATTGGGACACCCTTTTTTTGTGTGCTGTTGTTATAGAAGTTTCAATTAGAGATGTGTTGAGAGAAGCAATGACACAAGTAGTTACAAGGAAAGGAGGAGGAGTCTGTGAGGGGCTAAGAAGGACCTCGCTTACTTCTGAAAAAAACAGATTTGTTAGTCCCATTACAGATCTGTGATCACAATCTCTGGAGTCGGATCTAGGAGTCTGCGTTGAAGCAGCACTCACACACCCTAGCCAACCTCCAGACTGAAGGGCCCCGGGTTTCATGGGTCTCTCTCACACATCAGTGTTTCTCTCTGTCTCTCCCCTTCCTTCCAATCTCTCTAAAAAATCAATGGAAAAATATCCTCGGGTGAGGATCAACCCAAAAATATAGCATCACTTGCAGTGTACAGTAGGTCATCAAATAGTATCATTTTATTCAATGTCATTTTGTTATAACCTAGGAAATTAAGCCCATGGTAAAACTGGTTTTGTTAGACGTTGTTTCCCTTAAAGTCATAGAACTCATCAACATTAAGCGAGGACTTACAGTACTTGAAAAAAGAACTGCTTGGTGACTCTCTTGGTCATGGGATTGGAACAATCTAAAAGCATTAATTCAGGCTGTTGATTATATCTTGCCCCTTTGGGTAAGTGCTCTGTGTGAAAGCGGCCAGCATAGTACCCTGCAACTGACAGCCAAAATGGCTTTCCTATCTTTTGGCAAAACATGTTATTGATAATTTCCCTGGTGTACTTGAATCCCAAACAGGCAGAAATTTCTTCCAAAGAAAATGAGGCTTTGCAGGCGACTCAACTTTCCTTAATTATAACTCTGAGAACTATCATTTATTGATGACTTACTAAGGGCCAAGGCATATGTCTAGTAGTACATAGAAAAAAAATCTGAGTTATTTATTAAATGATCAAGGCTATTGAATGCTTTACATTCAATCTTCAGAGCACTTGCCACTGCCTTGTCATGGAGTTCATTATCTCCATTTTACAAAATCATAGGACTTATTATTGAGCTCTTAATCTGTTCCAAGCGCTTTATGTATATTTATACAATTTAATCAGTACAGCAACTCTATGAGTTAGGTATACAGGCTGAGTTTAAAGTAACTTGTCTAGAACACAAATAACTGATTTGATTCAAATCTGAGTACATGAAGCAGTGAGCAGTAGTGCTGGAAGGAGGGCAGGCCAGTCCCAACACTCCCAGTTACAGATTCCTAGCAAGAACAAAATAAACAACAAAAACAAACAAACAAACAAACACTCAGGTTCAGAGGTCACAGAGATAAAGTCTGATTATCCCAGATCCTCTCACCTCTTCCTATCGCTAAGTGAGTTACCCGTCCTCACTTTGAGCAAGGACAATGCTGCTGCGGAGGCAGTTTTGCAAGAGAGCTCAGAAGTCAATGGGATGTATTTTGGGGGCAGATTGACTGGTTTAGCTCCTATAATTTGTTCGTCACACATTTATTAAGCACCTACTATGTTCAAAACACTCCTAACAGAATAGAGCATGCATGCCTTCGAACAGCAATCCTGAAACTTCCAGGAGACAGAAGGCAGTAGGTGAGTGCTGACTTGTGTGGGAGGTTCTCCCACTTTCTTCTTCCTTAGGAATTGTTCTACCCCTCAAGGTGGCAGGAGCAGCAACCTTCATTACCAGGTGGCACAGACTTGAGAAGGAAGAGAAAAACATTGCGCACAGAGCTAGACCGATCACCTGGGGAGATGCGTCAGAAAAGCTGGAGCGCTTGGGACTCACTCAGTCCGCCAGGCCGGATCCTACAGAGGCTGGCTTTCTAGAGAGAGAAGAGATGATAGAATTTGCGGAGCCAGGGGCTTAGAGTCCTCTGATTCAGGAGACCCCTACTCCAACCCGCAAGCCCAGCAGGTTTCCGTGCAAAAACCTTTTGAGACGAATGTATACTTTGTCCTCTAACAATGCAAACGTGGACAGCTGCCCATTCAATTCTCGTTCCGCCTCCATTCAGAGCAGTTGATGCCACAGCGGCATCTTCTGCGCTGTAGTTATGCAACCTCGCTCGCAGCGGGAGTTATTTCCTGTGCTTCTGGCTGCGCCAGATTCAAGTAACACGCCTATCCTGGGCTTCAATGGAAGTCGTTCTCCATTAACAGCCACTCTAACTCTAAGAGATGAATGCCCTGCACGGCATACCCCTTGAATCAGTAAGAATCCGAGGCATGAAAACCAACTCTTTCTCCAACACACGCGCGCGTACACACACATTACCCCCCCTCCCACACACACACACACTCACACACACACACCCGTTGTGCATGCAGCTAGGACATTGCAGCGATGCAAGCCGAGGACAGCAGGCGGAGCTCTCTTTGTACAGTCCCTCTCCTAACCCCCACCAACTAAAGATGAACTCATGCCAGTTCCATTCTTCGCTCTGCAAGGAGAACGCACACACGGCAGACCAGAGCGGCCTGCCCTGTCCTCCTAGAGCACAGTTATTCTAGCTTTTCCGTTGTTCAAACAACCTGGATATTCCCAAAACGAGTGACTTGGGGGGGGGGGGAGGGAGAGGGGGGACGGACCGCTGCCGCAACAACGCAGCCTCCGAGGCAGCTCCCGGTGCAGCTCGCACCCCCGCCCCCTGTCGCGGCGTGCCAAGAGTTTGGAGCGCGCGCACGCACACGGGGCTCGGCGCCTGGCGTATCCCTCCGCCTCCCTCCGATTTGGGAAATGAAGGGAGGAGGGGACTACTTTCCTGAAACTTGCTATGCTGCACACGACTTGGAGCGGCCGTGATTCGCTCCGGGGCTGCAGCTTTGGGGCCTCCTGCCCACGCACCCTCACAGCCCCGGGCACCCCCGCTCTGCACTACCCTCCCCACCCCCCACCCCCCACCCCCAGTTCGTGCTCACTTTGATTCCTCCCCTCCCCACCCCACCCCACCCCCGGGAAGCCAGCGTCCGGGAGAAGTCGCCAGGGACTACTTCGCCTCCTCCGGCGGGCGGGCGCCCCGGGTTCGGGCCGCGGCGGCGGCGGCGGAAGGAGCGGGCGGCGTGAGCGCTTCCGCCGCCCCCCTGGCAGGCAGCTCCCCTCGGGCGGGTGTGCGGAGGTGAGGAGTCGGCCCGGCGCGCGGCTGCTGGGCACCCACCGGCTGGCGGCTGACCTGCGGCCGCTCTCCTCGCTCTCAGGCTGCTCCTCGCGGACCCTCGCTCCCCGGGAGCGCCCCGCTTCTTCGCCGGCCCGAGCCAGGGGGACGACGATCGGCCGCCGGCCCCCGCCTCACGCGCTGCCCGCCGCCCCCCTCTCCCCCCTCAGCAGCCGTCCGGGCCGGAGCGTGTCTGGAGGAATCCGCCGCCGCGAGGCCCCGCGCCCGGCTCTTCTGCTCCACCCGGAGGAGGAGGAGGACCGCCGGCCCCGCTCGCTGCCGCCGCCGCCGCCGCGGGGGCTGAGCGGGCGCCGGCCGCGGGGCGGGAGATGGTGGGCTGGGCGCCGGTAGGACCGTGCCGCCGCCGCCCGGAGCCCGGGCTCCGCACCCCCGCGCCGGCCCCCGCCGCCCAGCGGAGCGCCGCTTCCTCCTCGCCGCATCCCTGAGGGCAGCGCCGCCTCTGCTCCGGCTGCAGCTTCCCCGCCGCCCAGCACCCCGGCGGCGGGAGCAGCCGCTCTCCAGTCGCCCTTGGCAGCCCCCCCCCCCTTTTTCTTTTTCTTTTTTTTTTTTTTCCTCTCTCCCCTCCCCGGCCTCCTCGGACCTTCCGGCCGGGCAGCTGAGGCGAGCGAGGGGAGAGCGAGGCGAGCTGGGGTCGCCACGGCGCAGGCTGCCGCCGCCACCCCCCTGCGGGGGCGGCCGGGGTTCCCGGCTGGGGGGGCCCCGCTCCGCGTGAGGCGTCCACCATGGTGAGGCCCCTGAGCCGCTGCCCGCGCGCCCCCCCGGCCGCCGCCGCCGCCGCCGCCTCCGGCCCCTCGGTGCTCCCGCTGCTCCTCCCGCTGTTGCGCCTCCATCTCCAGATCGGATCACGGTGAGGGAAAGATGAGCGAGGAGACGGCGACTGCTGACAACGAGTAAGCGCCCCGTGGATCTTGATTCCTTACCCCCCTTGTATCCTTCCTTCCTCCCCTCCGATCCCCCGCCCCGCACCCCTCGATGACTTGGGTGCAGGGAGGCTTGCAGCCCTGGAGAGTTGGGTGCATCTTGTTGTGCAAACAATATTTGATTTCTTGAGCCATTTAATTTCCTGGCAGCACTCACCCCCCTCCCACCCCCATGTAGTTGCTTCCTTCTGGGGAAGGGTCTTGGGGGTTGGGGGTGGATGGCAGTTTTATGTCCAGGAGATGGAGTGATGGGGGTGGGTGCGTGCATGGATGGAGGAGGCAGGGTAGAAATAACGACCCCTTTGCCTGCAAGACCTTTGGCCTGTCCCTTTTTTTCACGGGAGCGTGCCCATCAACATATCCCGAATATGCATCCTGTTTCCTTTATAGCTTATTTCACTTGGAAACTAATGTGTGGGAGCACCTCCTGCAGCAAACGGCTCTTGAATCTTAATTTGATGAGTCAGTGACTCTTCAATACAGATTAAGCCTCCGCCCCCTCCCCTCCTTTTTTAAACTTATGACCTGTAAGATTCTTGTAAAAAATGGGGCCAGGGGGACTTTTTTTTTTTTTTTTTTTTTTTTAAGAATTTAATGGGATTATGGACACCTGGAGTGTGGGAGATGTGGAACCATTATATTGTGCCTTTGCGAACCTTGGGCATGTGTTTGTCAGGTGCCTAGGAGAATTGTGAATGCTAATTTTTGTTTTTCAGCTATCTTAAAACACACCCTTTACACCTTGGTGTTGATTTAACACTATTTCCGTTGCTGACTATGTTGACGACTTCATTGATGAACTTCTAGAGCAGCCTGGTTCAAGTTTTTATTTATGTGGGCTGCTGTCCTTATGTTTTTCAAGCGAAATACTTTGCCTTTTTTTTTTTTGCAGTATTTTTGCTTTAACGTAACAGCTGCTTGGAGAAGTATCGGGTGAGATGTTTTCTGTTGAGACTGGATTTAAGTTCCTGCGGGATATTAGCTTCCGTTTTCTTGTAATTCAAATTTTGTTTATCTTTTGAGGGTTGGAAAGAGTTAAGTGAGTTAGGGCTAGCCCTAGGATGCATTCCTTTAAATAAAGTGCATTCCTGGAGTCAGACCTCTTTTGAGAGAACTTTTTAATGAAAGTCCCAAGCCTAGGCCTGTTTAACATAAAATAGCTCGAGAAACGCCAAGCAGCGTTTTTCCTTCGCCGCCCTCCCCCCAGCACGCTCCTCGGATGAGCGGGTGAGGGAGAAGGTGGATCGCTGCATTGTCAGTGCCGCCGGGAAGCAGAAGTAGCCGCCGCCATGTTCTCTCTTTTTTTGTGAATCGCCCTCATTTGCATAGCACACTCTTCATTCATAAAAACATAATTAAACATCCATCACCTTGGACATCTTGAAAAGGATTTCCCAAGGAAAAAAAAAAACCCGAAGCTTGATTGTCTTCCACGTAGATTTTTTTTGAGTTCAGGAAGTAAGGGAAATTGCAAGTTTTAGGTTAAATTCTGAAACATTCGCGCACACACACACAAACAACTACCCCTGTTCTCTGAATGTTGACACAGTTATGTGGGAAATATCAGTTCGGGGAGGTGCTGGGATCACGTGACCGCCTCCATTCATAAAATACCTGGCTGTCCATTCACAGTGCAGTACACTGTCTCGTTGCCTTCCGCAGATTAGACCTACTTTGAGCGAGATCAAGGAGGACTGTGTCTCAGATAACGCCTGGTTAGGAGAGCAGCTGCTGCAAATTCTGAGTAGAAGGACGATATTTTTTTGGGTCTCTTAAGAAAGCTTGGGTCAACATGTCAAGTTCACTTGAGGGATAGGAAAAGACTAATTACCATATTTAAAGTGAAATATTTAATACCTCAGCTAATAGAAAAGCAAATGAGGGAATGCGGATTGACACACGTGTAAAATGGTTTCTAAATGGCTCTTTCTGTAATATTTGTCAGGAGCAAATTCAGAGCAAGTTTTTGGTGTAGTGATGTCAGTGGATGATTTTGCTGTTACCCGAAAAATGAGTAAATATTCCCAGTGGTTTAATCCCAAAGATGTTGATATTTGAAACACGAAATGGCAGTTTTTACTGAGAAAATTGCTTCTCTCTCTCTCTCTCTCTTTCTCTCTGTCTAATTTTAAATGTACTTAGTGTGGGACAACTTGGAAATCTCACCCATATTTTTGGAATTCTGCTGTTTTCACTGATATATCCTGCTTTATTAATGTTATTCCCTAGGAGGTTTGTTAAGCTAGTCTTTGTAGGACAAAATTAATGTTTTAGCATATAATGTTTTGCTATTAGATCTTAACTCTTCATGGGAACAAGCTCTTGGGATTTTACTTGATTTTTTTTTTTATATTAGAAAGTAATGTTTTCATCTGGTAATCAGTTTTCTTAGGGCCAACATTGTACATTAGATAAACCATAGTAAACTTGTTTTGAATTTAGCTTTTATTCTGGTAATTTATATATCTCATCTTTATTATAAAGTAATGTTTTGAAGTGGCAATTTATTGTTTAACCATATATATTATGAAGACAAAAGAAATATATAATGGCCTATGCCCTTGAAGGTTTAACTGTTTAAAACTGCCCTGTAATGTGGACTTTATTTATAAAATCCTTATGTATATTTTTTTCTTTCTTCAGTTTTTTTCAGAGTCTCAATTAGTAGGAATTTAATTACAGTAGCGATTATTAACACTGGAATGTTTTTACACTTAATTTCAACCGTCAAAAAAAAAAAACTCAAACATGAATCACTTCTAGGCCTTTAGGCTAAGATCAAGTATAGAAAAAAAAAAAAAAGTGAAAATCACCAATATCTTGAGAAACCTTAATCTTTTCTAAGCCATTGTAGTAAAATACAGTAAGGCCTTTGTGACTTCATTTTGAATTCCTCTCTTATATGCTTTATTATTTGAAATAAGAGTTATGTGTAGAGAGAGAGAGAGCTCTCAGAAGTTGATTGTGGATATATATTGATTCAAGAATTAGTGAAGGATCTACTACGTGTAAGACTTTGTCTTATGCAATTTCAGACTTTGGGAAGGGTTGGTAAAATTCTGCTTTTCTTCAATCTTTAGTAGGAACTGGAACTGAGTTAAAAGAGCAGTTTTAAAAAATAATTCTCTCCCTGCAGGAGAATTGTTTATTTCAGATAATGTACAAAATGGTTTGCATTTCTACTACTAAGATGTCTTAATATTTGATATATAAACACACTTTTCATATGATATGCATAAATCATATTCATTTATTGGATTTTTTTTACCATGTGCCAAGCACCGATAAATGCTTTGCTCATGTATTATATACCTAATTTATGTATATGAGTGTATTTTTAGCAGAAATGGAATTGTGTAGCAGATATTATTATAGCTTAATATATTGTGAATATTTTCCTATGTCGTTACATTCTAGAATATAATTTTAATCGCTACGTTATATTCCGTATATAATGTGCATTAGTTTTAGTCAGTCTACTATTTTTGGATATTTCTAAACAGTGCTTTATTTGATCCTGAGTTCTGTCTGTATCCAAATATATTACTTTTTCCTTGAGATAGTCTAGGAACGGAGTTAAAATAAATAAGTTTTAATTTTTTTTAAATTGCCCTCTAGAAAAGAATAACTCACTGTATCACAGTACTTATACTTTGAAATGTCTGTCCATTTCTCTTAGAAATAAATTTTTGCCATTTAAAAAAAAATTCTCATCTAAGTATATGTTTTTTATTGATTTTAAGAGAGAAAGAGAAAGATATGAGAGAAACAAACATTGGTTGCCTCCCATACCCACCTGGACCCAGCCAGCAACCTAGATATGTGCCTTGACTGGGAATTGAACCTGCTATATGGGACATTGCTCCAACCACCTGGGCCATGTGGCCAGGGCAATTTTTGCCAAATTGAATGAGGAAATGAGATCTTGTGCCTATTTTTAAAAGGTGCTGGACGGTAAAATAAAATTGAAACTTGAAAAAACAAACAAACTTGTGAGGTTGTTTTTGGACAATTGGACTGAAACAAAATACTATATAATAAAATAAAATTACAATGTATATGATCATACAGAAGTCATCTGCAGATCATTTATTTAACTCTTACCAACCTTTATGTAGTAGGGTATAGTGTAGAGAACATTGGACTTGGAACTGGGTGATGCAATGCTATCCTAACTGTCACTAATTTTTTCTGTGATTCTGGGCAAGTGACAGCTTCTATGGGCCTCAGTTTGCTTGTAAATCAAGGTATTTGAACTGAGCATTATCATGGCCCCTTCCTGTGCTAAATCACCCTAAAGTAATACAGTGGTAGAAATACTGCAAGTCACTAGCCTTGTAACGTACACGTTTGTTAATTTTATTATGTTGTTGTCTGTGAAATATCGAAGCAAATGAAAGAAAAACTTCTAGTAGAGATCTGGTAGGATGATGAATTAAAAGCATGAATTTTGATGAACTGAAATAAAAAATCTGGAAACAATTAGTATGTTCAGAATCTCTTAAGATTTTCTTATTTTGGGCTTAAGTATCCTGTGTCTTTGATATTATATATCATAGATGGAGAACTTTTTAGTGCTTTTTTTTAAGCCACCTTTTAAGGCTATTGGGTTTAAATACCAATTTGGGTATTTCTAAAAGGAGTACTTGTACTAACAAGGTACCAACCCTTGTGTTTTAATTGTTCCAGAGGTTCAAACAAAGTAAGTCTTTTCATTTGGTTATTCATACAACTCATGTTAATCTAATACTAAGAGGTAATTTAATTCATTTAAGGAGATAATACAGATAATGAAATTTTTTATTTAATTTTTTAATTTTTTTATTGACCCACGTGCACGAATTTGTGTATGGATGGGATCCCTCAGCCTGGCCAGAGATCAGAGCCAATTAGGGGCGTCTTGCCCACTCCCCATTAGGGCCAGTTGGCTGGTGGGGGGACTGCCAGAGGTTGGCCAGCCATAGGAGCTT